ACAGTGTCAGTTTTTTTTTTTTTTTTGCACTGATCACTGTATTAGTGTTTTTGGGGATGTCAGTGACCCCAAGTCAGTACCCCCCAATGTCAGAATGTCCGCCGCAGTCCCGCCATAAGTCGCTGGTCGCTGCCATAAGTCCCTGATCGCCGCCATAATTCGCTGATCGCCGCCATTATTAGTATAAAAAAAAAGCCCTAAAAATCCCAGTATCTTTCCCGCCATTTGTAAACGCTATAACTTTCACGTAAACCAATTAATTTACACGTATTGGGGTTTTTTTTAGCAAAGACATGTCGCAGAATGCATTTTGGCAGAAATTTATGACTAAATTTGATTTTTGCATTTTTTTTTTACTGGACATGTTTCATAGCAAAAAGTCCAAAATATTGTTTTTTTTCCCTCAAAATTGTCAGCCTTTTTTTTTATAGCGCAAAAAATAAAAACCGCACAGGCAATCGAATACCAACGAAAGAAAGCTCAATTTGTGGGGAAAAAAAGGATGTAAATTTCATTTATGTACCATATTGCATGACCGCGCAATTGTCCGTTAAACTAGCGCAGCGCTGTATAGCAGAAAAATGGCGTAAATTGCAGTATCTATACCATAGTTTGTAGACGCTATAACTTCCACACAAAGCAATCAATATACACTTATTGGGATTTTTTTTACCAAAAACATGGAGCAGAATACATTTTGGCCTAAATTTATAACCAACTTTGAGTTTACTATATATTTTTTATAGCTGAAAGTAAAAAATATTGTTTTTCTTCAAAATTTTTGGCGTTTTTTTTTGTTTATAGCATGAAAAATAAAAAGCGCACAGGTGATCAAATTACTCCGAAAGAAAGCTCTATTTGTGTGAAAAAAAGGACGTATATTTCGTTTGGGTGCAGCATTGCATGACCGCGCGCAATTATCAGTTGAATTAGTGCAGCACCCGAGTAGCAAAAAGAGGCCTGGTCATTAAGGGGGGTAAATCCTCAGGAGCTCAAGTGGTTAATCAATGAAATTAATTGACTTCCAGTGCAGCAAAACATCCCACAAAGTTGCAGTGCATTATGATGGGTTGCAGAACATGTTCATTGTCTTAGTGCATTGGAGTGCTATTCAAAATGAATGTCGCCACAATGCATCAACTCATGCAACAACCGAAGTCCTCCCAGGCCTTGAGACCTTCTATTAATGTTCCAGTCACATTTGTATGGTGCATCCACCTGCGTTACGTCACAGGTTACCATGCTTTGCATTAGAATAAACCAGGGGCGGACTAACAACTCATGGGGCCCCCGGGCACTAGGGGATCATGGGGCCCCTGTGTCCTTGCCCAAACTCAAAAAAGCCTATGAAAAAGGCACCAGGGGCATCTCATGGGGCCCCCTACTGACCCCGGGCCCTCGGGTAGTGCCCGAGTTTCCAAATGGTCAGTCCGCCGCTGGAATAAACTATCGTGGGTACACTCCCATTAATGCCACATCCCTACTCTATGAACACAAATATACTACTAAACCCACAATGGGTCTTTTTAGGCATTCATGTCACAACACAGTAAGAAGAAATTGATTGGTCATTTTATTCTAAGACAAACTCTGAATTAAAAACATACATATGGCTTACAGTACAGTGGGGGAGATTTACTGATTTACTAGAGCTGGTTCACTCAGAAGCTGATGCAGCTGTGCATGGTAGCCAATCAGCTTCTAAATTCAGCTTGTCCAATTAAGGTTTAGCAATAAAACTTGGAAGCTGATTGGTTTCCATGCAGAAGTGCACGAGATTCTGAGTGAATCAGCTTTAGTAAATAAACCCCAATATGTAACAAAAGGAGTACAGAAAAAGCTCTCATAAGAAGTGTCATATACATGATGTGTTTCCATTTACCCGACACGTTTCAGAGATATGCAGCTCTTTAATCAGGGGTAGCAAAGATTTCACATCTCTATAATATGAATAAATAAACATTATACAAAATAAAAATAAAGAAAGGAGTATAGTCATGTTTATATATTGATCCATTTGTGCGTTGCATTACTTACAATGTGACAGCAAATGGACATAGAAATGAAACCGTAGAAGTATCAAAACAAACTTTTTTCTGTACTGCTTTTGGAACATATTGTATTGTAAGCCATATGTATGTTTTTAATTCAGAGTTTGTGCATGCATTAAGGCAGCCCATTGAAATCAACAAGCTTCCAACCAGGGGCGGACTGACCTTTTGGGAACCCGGGCACTGCCCGAGGGCCCAGGGTCAGTAGGGGGCCTCATGAGATGCCCCTGGTACCTTTTATAGGCTTTTTTTGGGTGTGGTTTGAGTGTGGGCAAGGACACAGGGGCCCCATGATCCCTTATTGCCCGGGGGCCCCATGAGTTGTCAGTCCACTCCTGCTTCCTACACATCAAAACATCCCAGAAATAACACGTGGTGCAGTGCACTATGATGCTCTGCAAAACATGTGCGTTGCTTTACTTAACTGCTGTACTACTTTTAAGTATGAATGGCAGTGCAAAATGTCAGTACTTAACCAGTACCGATGACATACCTAGATTGTATTACAAGTGAGCAGAAATGCATCAACGTATGTAACATTCGCTGTCACGTGTAGCTCTACCAGGCGTGGTAACCTGTTCATCATGCAACACATAGATGTAAATGGGCCCTTAACCTGTTGCTGTCCATGTGTGGCGACAAATAAGATGGACTTTAACTCCCATATGCGTCTGTGGACAACCAAGGTTTTCTGTGCTGAGAGCCAGCTTACTACTCACTTCCAGCACAGTGACTGGGCTGTCAAAGACATAATCGGGTGCCAGCAGGATGAACTCCCTATCATATGACCACTGAGACAGCCAATCGCAGTGGTCACATGACTGAGTAGTCTTTCCTGCCCCCAGGGTGTAAATATCCAGTTAAAGGGATGGTCGGGTTGGGCAGGAAAGGGTTAACCTAAACCACATAGGGGTTGATTTACTAAAACTGGAGAGTGGAAAATCTGGTGCAGCTCTGCATAGTAGCCAATCAGCTTCTAACTTCAGTTTGTTCAATTAAGCTTTGGCAATAAAACCTGGAAGCTGATTGGTTTCTATTCAGACATTTCTGCTGCAACAGATTTTACACCATGCAGTTTTAGTAAATCCCCCCCCACAGTACCCATTCCAGTGATTGCTATGTGTGTGTACAGATTGCCCTCTCTGAGGAGAGTAAAACGAACACGGCTCAGAGTGATGTCCCCCTCTATGTACCACCGTCATATCCTGAGGTACAGATCTCCTTCTCTGGGGTAAACCAGGAAGATAGCTAGAAGATACTATCACCTTTCCCAGTCTAAGGCTTAGGCTGGCCATACACTATACAATCTGATTGTACAATCTCTGTTTGTAAAATCGCCTTTAGAATTACCAATATGATGTAATATGAAGACGTACTAAACTATCTATTGGCATTAAAATCATGCAGGCCCTTACATTACATAGGTTATGGTGGATTCTACAATCAGATTGTATAGTGTGTGATCAGCCTTATATACTAAACAAGTGCAAAGAGTAATGATCAGTTACCTGCAGCAACCAATTAAAAATCACTGTTCAGCAGACAGGATAATGAAAGATGTTTTTTAATTGATTGTCGCAGATTACTGCACATTGCTCCTATTCATTTAAAGAACTCCAGGCAAAATTTCTATTTTCCCATGCAGTGGGGCTGTGCCAGCACTGCATGGGTTAACTGGTAGTGTTGTCCAGGGGCTCAAGGAAAAGCTATACTCAACTGATCCTCTGGAAAAACACGCTCCTCCACGTCCAGCAGTGGACTGTTCCTGCCGTCCTCACGTCCAGAGCCTGTCTATGGAGTGATGACATCAGGAACAGTCCATTCACAAGACCACTAGCATGCGGAGGGGGGGGGGGTACAAGGAGCTGCGGGGACCGGATCAGCAAATTAAGTAAGTGTATCTCCGCTCCCCTCACCCCTGGACAAAAACGATCAGTTAACCCATGCAGTGCGGGCACAGCTCCACTGTATGGGAAAATAAACATTTTGCCCGGTGTTCTTCTTTAGGGCATGGGTCACAAAAACTCCAATAAACACGACTGATCCAGAACCCAAAGATGCTGGTTTATGAAAAGCAAAGTGTAGTTTCTACTCAGCAGGCTTCAGCTGGCCATAGATGGAGAGAATCTCCAACAAAAATTCTCAGAACATTCAAATGTCCTTCAGAAAATTCCTTTGCGTTTAACATTGGATTTTGGAATGAATGGACTTTACAGAATGAAAACCACATTCAGTGGTAAAAATTCATTCGTTCTAGAAATAAATTCCATTCTGCTCCTTTGAATTTTTTCATAATTGTGTTCAAAAACAAACGTTGATTTGACCCAATAAGGATTAGAAAAATGAACAAAGTTTCTTAGAATATTTTTTCCTAATAATTTTTATTCAAAATTCTACCCATCTGGCCAGCTTAAGTTTTTTCAAGGCAGTAAGAAATCTGTTTCTGTTCAGTATTTACTCCTGTTTTTGTAAATCAGTCAAAGCCTCTAAAGTTGGCCATACACTATACAATCTTATTGTACAATCTCCTTTAGGGCTGGTTTACACAATAGAAACATGGTTACATAGTTAGTCTGGCTAAAAAAAGACAAAAGTCCATCCAGTTCAACCATTAAAAAATAAAAAGTTATAATCCTACTCCCAGTTGATCCAGAGGAAGGCAAAAAAAAAACCCAGCAAAGCATGACCCAATTTGCTCCTGTACTTACCTATATTTATTCTCCTCCCCTCCAATCATATGATCCCGCAGCTCCGTCTCCTCTGCGTCAGAGAGCAGCTACTACAGGGGAGAGGAAGAGCACCGCCAGCGGCTGGCCTATGGAAGCCTATAGGTGACGTCCATGCCCGGGAATTCACAGCCGTTGTCAAGCGTTCCCCTACACAGGGAGCCAGAGTGCCCAATCACATGACCGATTCAGAGGGGAATAAAAATAGGTAAGTATGCAGATCTATTTGTTATGCAGGATAGGTAGGAGCAGGGGCGGACTGACCATTTGAGCACTCGGGCACTGCCCGAGGGCCCGGGGTCAGTAGGGGGCCCCATGAGATGCCCCTGGTACCTTTCATTGTCTATTTCATAGGCTTTTTTGGGTGTGAGCAAGGACACAGGGGCCCCATGATCTCCTATTGCCTGGGGGCCCCATGAGTTGTCAGTCCACCCCTGGGTAGGAGGAGGGGGGAGGGAACATTTTTAGGAATAGTTATCATTAGGCTTTGCTACCACTTTAAGTATGCCATACACTTTACAATCTGATTGTACAATATTCATCAACACTAAACAATCTGTGTTAAACTGGCCATACACTAAAAAATCTGATTGTATCAACTCTTTTAGATTTATCTAGAATTTGTAATATGAGGAGCTTCTTATCTATCCAATCAAGTTGTGTCCACTCAGGCAGGCCCTACATAGCTGGTGATAGATCTAAGGCTAGGTTCACACCTATGAAGTTTGTGTTTGATCCGTTTTTGCAGTGCGTTTTGCGTTGCAGTTTTGCACATGCATTTTTGATGCGTTTTGCGGTCATTTTTTCTTGTTGCTAAGCAGATTTAAAAAACGCATCAGTATGCACTACATGCTTTTCTGCAGCGTTTCCATTGAAGTCTATAGAGACAAAAACGCAACTTTTTGCATTTAAAAAAGTCCCTGACCCTTTTCAAAAAACGCATCAGGTGAAAACGCTGAGACGTGAACATGTCCCGTAGGAAATCATGTTAAATGGACTGTAGTGCGTTTCTGCAAAACGCTGCAGAAAATGCTTAGGTGTGAACCTGGGGTAAAGGAGACCGTACAGTCAGATTGTATAGTTCGTCACCTTTAAGTTTACAACACACATTGCAATCTGATTGTACAATCTCCAACAATCATGTAGTACAAGGGCCTGTCTGAGTGGATTGGATAGCTTAGGAAGGTCCTCATATTACATAGTTTGGGCAAATAACACATTTGTTGTACTGTCAGAGTGTGATGTAAGCTTTGGAATCTGTAGGGTCTATTAATCCACACTTCCACCCAAGACTCATACAATTTACACTCAAGATTGACACTGAAGACTGGATTGTAATGGGGTGAACGTTGTGTGAAGACATTGATAAACAGACCCCGATGATGTCAGCTGACGAGGGCCCTGTGACCAATCTGGTGTCATCCCTCTACCTGTCCACACACTAGATATATTATTTATTACCTCTGCTGCTTCCTCAATAGCAGATGAGAACGTGGCAGTGCCAGGACCAGGGGCAGACTGATAACTCATGGGGCCCCCGGGCAATAGGGGATCATGGGGCCCTTGTGTCCTTGCCCATACTCCAAAAAGGTTCCAGGGCATCTCATGGGGCCCCCTACTGACCCCGGGCCCTCGGGCAGTGCCTGAGTTTCCAAATGGTCAGTCTGCCCCTGGCCTGGACTGTGCACAGGGCTCCCTTACACCACAGTCTCAGCCTGTGTTTCCACAGGCACATCAACATGCGTTTGTAATGTGTTTGCGTTGCTTTATTATTTTTTTTGTAACTGAGATGCATTTGTGCCGTTCCCATGTTCTCCATTGTGTTTACATGCAAAAAAAAATGCAGCTTGCTGTACCTTTTGTAGACGCACATGAAACCACAAGAGCCGTGTAAACTAGGCTTATTGAAACACATTCATTCTTCCTACACATGCGTTTTTAATGCTTTCAAAACCACATTCAACTGCATCTGGTGTTATGGAGCCCTTAACTCGTTTACACTGCAATCCCCATGTTCAGCGCACATTTTAAATGCGTTTGTATTATAATGTGGTGTGTTTTCCAGCGGTTTAACATTTTTTTTACATTTTCATGCTCACATGCATCCACGGCTGTTCCATGGCCGCTACACACGAGCATACATTGCAGCATGCTGTATTTTCTTCAACACAGATAAAAGTACCACAATGATGAAAAGTAGGCTCATTGAAATAAAAAATGTTTTTTGCATATGCAGCGCTAATGCGTTTAAAAATGTGTTTGACTGTATCTGGTGTAAGCGCTCTCTTACCCCGTGTTCAGTGTGACATTCCGCATACGTGTTTACTGGCACATGTCAGGCGTTTGTGTAACATTTACATGCGTTTTCAGTGCATTCCCATGCATTCACATGCAAGAAATGCTGCATGCTGTCCTCTTTTAAACGCACAGCTGATTGGCACGCACTCCCTTTCCTTGCATATGCATTCCTATTGCTTTTAAAAATGCATTCTGTTGTATTTGTAATGTGTTGCATTTGTGTCGCATCTGCAGTGCATTATTTAGGCATTTACCATTTTTTAACTGAATTACATTTACATTCATTTGTGGTCCATTTATGCACCGTTCAGGTGCCTTTATGTGTGCAAAAAAAAAAAATGCAACATACTGTTCTTTTTTTAAATGCACCGGAAAGCGCCACAAATGGCATAAACTTGGCTGATTCACATACAGTCATTTTTCTTGCATATGCGTTCCTGCTGCGTTTAAAAATGCATGGTGCAGGGCCGGACTGACCATTTGGAAACCCAGGCACTGCCCGAGGGCCCAGGGTCAGTTGGGGGCCCCATGAGATGCCCCTGGTACCTTTTTCATACGCTTTTTTGAGTTTGGGCAAGGACACAGGGGCCCCATGATCCCCTATTGCCCAGGAGCCCCATGAGTTTCAGTCCGCCCCTGATCTGGTGTAAGGAAACATACACACCACAGTCGCTGATGTGAGTGTAATAAAATGCGTTGCATTGGCAGTGCTTTTTGTTAGCCATTTACAATTTTTTAGTTTAGTTACATTACATGCATTTATGGTGCCTTCACATGCGTTCTGGTGCGTTTATGTGTGAAAAAAAGCAGCATGCTGTACTTCTTTTAAATGCACTTAAAAGCCCCACGATGGTGTAAACTAGGCTCACTGACATACAGTCATTTTTATTGCGTATGCGTTACTACTACTGCGTTTAAAAACTGTGTTTAATGACATCATACACACCACAGTCATCACAGTGTGGGGGCGCAATAAAATGTGGTCCTTTACATGGATCTGCCTGGCAGTTGTAGTGCAGTTTTTTTAGCCATTTACATTTTTATTATTTTGCTAAGTTGCATTTACATGCGTTCATGTGCGTTCCAGTACATTTACGCATGCTGTACTTTGTTTAAATGCACATAAAAGCACCGCAATGGTGTAAAATAGGCTCATTGACATACATTCATTTTTCTTGCATATGCGTCCGTATTGCGTTTAAAGCCGCGTTCGTCTGCATCTACACTATAATCCCCAAATGTTGAGTGTGTGTGCAATCCAATGCATGCGTATTTAACTAAATTTATCATGCATTTCTGTCACATGTGCAATGCGTTGTTTTTTTTTTGTAACTGAGTTGCATGTACATGCGTTTGTGGTGCGTTCATGTGAGTTCAGTTGCTTCTATGTATAAAAAAAATGAAGCATGCTGTACTTTTTTTTTTTAACATGCATGAAAGCACCACAAATGATGTAAACTAGACTCATTAATATACATTTATTTTTCTTGCATAGCTAATTTTTTTTTTTTTCCTGCATTGCACTTACATGCATTTACGATGTGTTCACATGCGTTCTGGTCAGGGGTGAACTGACCATTTGGAAACTCGGGCACTGCCCGAGGGCCCCGGGTCAGTAGGGGGGCCCAATAAGATGCCCCTGGTACCTTTTTCATAGGCTTTTTTGAGTTTGGGCAAGGACACAGGGACCCCATGATCCCCTATTGCCCGGGGGCCCCATGAGTTGTCAGTCCACCCCTGGTTTTGGTACATTTACATATAAAAATATGCAGCATGCTGTACTTGTTTTCAATGCACATAAAAGCCCAGCAATGATGTAAACTAGGCACAGTGACATGCATTCGTTTTTCTTGCATATGCGTCCGTATTGCGTTTAAAGCTGCGTTCGTCTGCATCTGGTGTAGGGCTCATTTACACTACTATCCCTATGCTGAGTGTATACAATTCAATGCATGTGTGTTTAATTACATTTTCTTGCAATTGTGTCACATTTGCAGAGCGTTTTTTATTGTTTTTTGTAACAAAGTTGCATTTACATGCGTTTGTGGTACGTTCATGTGAGTTCATTTGCTTCTATGTGTGAATAAAAAAATGAAGCATGCTGTACTTTTTTTTTTTTTTTCTTAAACATGCATGAAAGCACCACAAATGATGTACACTAGACACATAAATATACATTTATTTTTCTTGCATATGCATTCGTATTGCGTTTAAAACCGCGTTCGTCTGCATCTGGGCTTGTTTACACTATTTTTCCAATGCTGAGTGTGTGCAATTAAATACGTACGTGTTTAGCTAAATTTGTCATGCATTTGTGTCACATATGCAATGCGTTTTTTAGCTATTTACAATTTTTTTTTTTTCTGAGTTACATTTACATGTATTTGTGATGCGTTAACATGCGTTCTGACACGTTTATGTGTAGAACTTTTTGCATGTGTGTCCGCATTGCGTTAAAATCACGTTTGTCTGCGAATGTTGTCAATCTGAACAGGGTGTGGGGCTCATTTACACTACAACCCCATGTTTAGTGAGTGCATCCAATGCACCGCAAATGATGTAAACGAGACTCATATATATATATATATATATATACATATTTTTCTTGCATATGCGTCCGTATTGCATTTAAAGCCGCGTTCGCCTGCATCTAGGCTCATTTACACTATTGTTTTTAAGTTGAGTGAGGGGCAGACTGACAACTCATGGGGCCCCCCGGGCATTAGGGGATCATGGGGCCCCTGTGTCCTCACCCACACCCAAAAAAGCCTATGAAAAAACCAATGAAAGGTACCAGGGGCATGTCATGGGGCCCCCTACTGACCCCGGGCCCTTGGACAGTGCCTGAGTGCTCGAATGGTCAGTCCGCTCCTGGTTGAGTGTGCTGTCCGATGTAGGCACGTTTAGCTACATTTATCATGCATTTTGCGTCACATTTGCAGTGCATTAGGCATTTCATGATTTCTTTGCATTTACATGCATTTGTGGTGAGTTCAGTTGCTTTCATGTGTGAAAAAAAAAAAGAAGCATGCTGTACTTTTTTTTGTTTTTTTTTGTTTAATGTACATGAAAGCACCACAAATGATGTAAAGTAGGCTCATTGACATCCATCCATTTTCCTTGCCTATGCGTTCGTCCTGCGTTGGGCTGCCTGTGGTGTAAAGCGGAGCATCTTGTACGACGATTGCTTTCTGCAGTATCTACAGGTTTGACTCGACTAGTGAAAGCAGCATCAGCCCTGAAAGGGATCAGCCCCAGCACTTCATTGTCACACAGGGCCAAGCAGCAGAATAAAAATAATACATCCAAACCCAACACACCAGCCCCCGGAGATCTGGAGTATTTATTATGTAATATCAGAGCCATGCAAAGGTTAACAAAAAAAAAAATCACTATCTTGCTTCTCATCAGCATCCCTGAACTAATGATATTGTGATGTACCAAGGAAAAAAAAAAAAAAAGCTTAGATTATTTTCTCCCCTTTTTAATCTGGATTTTCTCCACCTCCCCCTAAAACATGTACTTACAGCTCCATTCTTGTAGGCATCTGTTGGCTAGGAGGTCACTATGCTGGGTAGTTGGGAGTGATGCTTCTTTATGCATTAGATTTGTTATTTGTTTTTGTTTTTTTGTTTTGTTTTTTTTTTTAATCTCGCACACAGGTCTGATGATGGATCGGAGTTGATGGACTCAAGGCAGAGAAGAAGAATTGTAAAGCCCAGGTTTGCTTGCTTGTCTTGCTGCTGATTTGCTCCTGGTCCACCTGTTCTGTGTGTTTTCCCATGTCCTCAGCTGACTGTCATATTGACAAAAGGGATGATGACTGTTTAGAGATTTCTCTCCCAACAAGCATTTAATGCCTCTCTGTCTGAACCTCTTGTTTCAAGCTGGACCAATCTACAGGCTAAGATGATCCTCAGCAGCATCCAGTGGATTGGCAGTGCAATTGCTAGGATCCAAGGCATACAAAAAAAAAATTATAAAATCCAGTGATCAGCTTCAAAAATAAAGGAAGCTTCATAGAATTCAGACGGTGCTGGGAGCAAGTGTTGTGTTCTCCCTTCGAAGTCTCCAATTCCCAATTGTGTGTTGTGTACCACTGAAGGACAAACGAGTGAGCCCAGCCTGATTTATTCCCAGGGCTCGCAAGCTCCATGTCGGCCTCTAGTGGGCTCGAGTCAGAACTGCGCCTCTGTCTGGAGCTGCCATTGACATTCTCCCCCCTCTTCGCTGTAAAAAGAAATATTAATTATTGAAGTAACTATTTCAAATTTAAATTATGCATATCCCTCTAATAAAACATTTTGCAGGAGGGGATGCAGAGAATCAAGAGTCCAAAAGAAGGAAAAGCAAGCTTTTGAGAGGAGAGAAAAAAAAGAATGATGACCTGTTTAATAGACTGGCCTCTGCTGAAATTTTTCAGCAAGAGTGATTCTTTTCAGAGGATTTAATATTATATGATGGCATTCTTGCAAATACCTTCTTGAAGTATATGTAAACCCTTGTAAAACAACCCAAAAGCACAGAACCAGCACTCACATTAAAATATAAACCACTCTCATCAATAAGAGTGTTACTTTGCTTTTTGTCTGTAACATGGATTTAGTGGCTTTGGCATTATAATAAAATATGCATGGTATGTGTTCATCTATTGTCTGACAACAATAAAAATGCTTTAAAAAAATGTAAACCACAAAACACTTATAGGTTATAGAAGTGCTAAAAAGCAGAAGTAGTGGCAAAGAGGTGGCAAGGAGATCAGTGAATTGTGAACCACAAGGGGTTTCTATATGGTAGAAGTGCATACATTTAATTAAATGGTGTCAAACAGGTGGTGAGGAGATCCCTAAATCCCCAAAACAACAAACAAAATTTCCTGGCTCACTTACCAGCCAGCCTGCAACCAACCAAATTACTCTATGGTAGTTTAGTTGGTTGCAGGCTGGCTGGTAAGTGAGCTGGGAATTTGTGTTTGTTGTTTTTTGATATGAGTCGTCCCTCCTTGTGCTCTTACTGCAAAGGCCAGTCATATATGTGCTCTAATTTTGGAGACTCTCAAAATTTATAGAGTTAGGACTGCAGTGCAGTGGGGTGCCGTGGCCTCTGCAGCTTATGCATATATTTGCAAATGTGTGCAAACTAAACTCCTAGTTTTAACTTGACAGGGTAATTCGGTTGGTTGCAGTCTGGCTGGTAAGTGAGCTGGGACTTTTTGTTTGTCTTTTTTTTAACCTCCCTAGCAGTCTGATTATGTCCATATTTCTGTGCTCAAAGCGGTACATTTTTTTGCATGGAAATATGTATTTTTTTTATTGTAGGCCTGTAATTTTTAGGAATAACTCACTGAAATCTGTACGAACAAGAGTCTAGTAAACATCCCGGGTATGATAAAACTTAAAACACCAAATCATAAATTATAATTTAATAAATAATCATAAAAAATAATAATATAATAATAATAATAAATTTAATTCAATAATATAATCAAACCAAAAAAACACTGAAATTTGAAATATAGCGCCAAGTTCGCACATCACTGAGCAGTCACAAAATCGTTTTCAGTGTCTGATGATGACGAATTTCCCCACAAATCATTATCACTCAATTCTGCAAGTGGTTCTAATTTACTATCACTGTTCTCTAGCTGGTCTAAAACCGCTTTTGACCTAAAGGGACGCTTTTTGGATGCCATGGACATTTCTCAGTTTCCAGGCAGAAAGAACAATAAACATGCAGGCAGGGCGCAGGACAAAGCACTCGGGACAAATGTATGTGAAATGGTTTGATACAGGAATGTTTTACTATGTGATTTTAGTGATTTTAGTGAATGTCACTTTTTGTCATTTTCAAATTTCCTACTGTTCCGTACCCCCGTACGTCCCGACGCTAGCAGGGGATGGAACCCAGATGACAGATGCCGGTATCCGCCGGATTACATTGCCGAGGACACTGCAGGAGGGACATCACGGGAGCGCAGGACAAGGTAAGTGATCGAGGGATCGCGGAGCAGCGCCGCATGGTAAGCCCGAGTGTAGCTCGGGGTTACCGCTTTTGGTACTGAAACTTTACCCCGAGCTACACTCGGGAATACCGCCAGGGAGGTTAACATGAGTTGTCCCTCCTTGTGTTCCCTGCTGCAAAGGCCAGTTATAGGTTGGGGTGGTTGCCATTTGTTTGTACTGTTGGTGAATTGGTGAAGGGACACACTAGATACCTTCGCCACTCTTGTGCTATTGCAGGGTGTCCAGTGCGTCCCTATACCTAAAAGAGAGGGGGGGGGGGCATCCTCCAGGCATACCTGCCTTTAATCTGTTCATTATTATATATGTGCACCATTTTTGCAGACTCTCAAAATTCATAGAGTTAGGACTGTAGTGCACTGGGGTGTCATGACGTGACCTCTGCAACTTATGCATAAATGTGTGCAAACAAAACCCCTAGTTTTAATTTAACAGGGTAACTCGGTTTGTTGCAGGCTGGCTGGTAAGTGAGCTGGGAATTTTTGTTTGTTGTTTTTTGACATGAGTCACCCGTCCATGTGCTCCTTGCTGCAAAGGACAGTTATAGGTTGGGGTGGTTGCCATTTGTTTGTACTGTTATTGAATTGGTGGGGGGATTCACTTGATACCCTCACCACCATTGTGCTATTGCTGGGTGTCCAGTGTGTCCCTTTACCTGTGGAGGGGGGCACCCTCCAGGCATACCTGTCCTTAATCTGTTCATTATTATATTGGTGCTCCAATTTTGGAGACTCTCAAAATGTAAAGAGTTAGGTCTGCAGTGCACTGGGATGCCATGATGTGGCCTCTTATGATGTGGCATCTTACGTACATATTTGCAAATGTGTGCAAACTAAAACCTAGTTTTGACGTGGCAGGGTAATTCAGTTTGTGAAAGGCTGGCTGGTAAGTGAGCTGGGAATTTTTGTTCATTGTTTTTTTGACATGCATCGCCCTTCCACGTGCTCCTTGATGCAAAGGCCAGTTGTAGGTTGGGGTGGTTGCCATTTGTTTGTACTGCTGGTGAGGAGATTCACAGGTGGAAACACTGCACAACCAGATGGGATAAGGAGCCAAATGAGGGATGGATCCACTGGGGGGGCATCATTTAAAAAAGTGGTGGAGCCCCAAAACGCATCTGCCCACCCACTTTCCATACTGGCATCGGTCCCAGTTCCTGTGTGTGGAGGCAGGCCGGCATCAGATGCAGTTTGTGCCATGCTTTTTGACAGGTCCGGCTCCCCATCACCCGGCTCATCGATCGCTGCAGGTCCTTGTTGCTGTGTTTGGCTGTCACCTTCCACTTTGAGGCTGTTGTACCTGTTGCCTAAGTGCAAGTTCAAATTTTAATGTTTGAATATATTTTTGCCATTTTATTAATCCAGCGCCTTGGCACCTCAGTTTTCTCCTTGTAAAACAACCCATTCAGTTTAAAATTGAAATGAAAGGCAAAACATTTGTGTATAGATATAAACAAATCGTTATAAAAACCTTTTATAATTGATCACATACCCTCTAAGCTCCTTATGCAGCTGAGAACATAGAGCTGGGGAAGAGAAACAGCAGAACATTGGTCTTCCCAGTGAATGGCGGGGCAGGGGGGGAAGGGGTGTCAAGACAAGTCTGATAATTGGAGGAGAGCACACTGGTTTCCGAGCACAGCTAGAGAATTGACCATGCTGTGCTCTCATGCCTGGTGTGGTCAGTTTTTAATTAGGAAAGCAGAGGGGCTGCAGGAACACCAGGAATTTCACACAAAGGAAAAAATACAAAGAGAACAGGATACTTTTTCATACAAGTACATGGTACAGCAGGCACATATCAGGACCATGAAATAATACTTTTACATATTCTTTAACCACCTCCCGCCCGCCATATAGTCCAATGACGGGTGCAAGGTGGTGCTCTTGTTCTGATAGGACGTCATATGACGTCCTCCTATTCTCACTGCGCATGTGCTGCTCAGAGAGCGTGCAGCATGGCGATTGGCGGTGCGCTGTGTCCCTCGGACACAGCGGATCACCGATCCACGGAAAGAGCCGAAGGCGTCGGCTCGGTCATGTGATCAGCTGTGTCCAATCACAGCTGATCACATGTAAACAGGGAAATGTCGGTTATCTGCATTTCTCTCCTCTCGAGCTGTCACGCTGACAGCTCGAGAGGAGAGAGCCGGTAATCGGCATTCTGCGGAGGGGACATGTACGCTGATCATCAGAGCACTGATGATCAGTGTGCCCTGATGATCAGTGTGGCCCCAGAAGTGCCACCTGTCAGTGTCCATCAGTGCCAGCTGTCAGTGCTGAACAGCGCCATCTGCCAGTGCCCATCAGTGCCACATCAATGCCACATATCAGTGCCCATCTGAGCTGCCTTTCAGTGTCACCCATCAGTGCTACCTATCAGTGCTGCCAATTAGTGCCACCTATCAGTGCCAGTCAGTGACGCTTATCAGTGCCAGTCAGTGCCGCCTATCAGTGCCAGTCAGTGCCACCTAGCAGTGCCAGTCAGTGCCGCCTATCAGTGCCGCCTATCAGTGCTGCCTTTCAGTGTCCATCAGTGATGCCTGTCAATGCTCACCAGTGCCTCCTCATCAGTGCCCATCAGTGCCACCTATCAGTGTCCATCAGTACATCTTATCAGTGCCCATCACTACAGCCTCATTAGCGCACATCAGTGATTGAGAAAAATCACTTATTTACAAAAGTTTTCAAAATTTTCAGTGGTTTTTGGTTTGTTTAAGAAAAAATAAAAAACCCAGAGGTGATTAAATACCACCAAAATAAAGCTCTATCTGTCACAAAAAAAAATGATAAAAATTTCATATGGGTACAGTGTTGCATGACCGCGCAATTGTCATTGAAAGTGTGACAGCGCTGAAAGCTGGAAATTGGCCTGGGCAGGAAGGGGGTATAAGTGCCCTGTAGGCTACCGGTTAAAAAATGCTTCTAAATGCAAACGCACATAAATGGGAATACACGCGGTATGCAAACGCGGCTAAACAGACGTTTTTTTAACCTGGTTAAATAGAAATATACCATGCTGGCACAATGTGTTGTACAAACACAGTGTGGACATTTATGTATACCCTTAGGAATAGTTTACGCTTGTCAATGGGGGGTAGTAAAAATAGGCAGTTGAGACATGTTTTAATGCCTCCTGTTAGTGCCAGTTCTCATATGTGCAATGTGTTTTACATGCATTGTAGGTGCGTTATCATTGAACTATATATGGTATATTGTGCATTTTGATGAAAACACATCAAAGTTGTAAGAAGCAGGGTTTTTAATGCATTGCAGATAAAGCACACAGGTGTGAATGGGTCATATATACAGTAGAAGGTCTCACTGGGATCCCCAGAAGCTGCGAAATCCGTGCTCAGGCTGGTATTGTCTCCATTAATAATCAGTATGACGATCCAAAAAGATGAACAGCCAGTAGATTGGTATCATCCAACTGCAGAAATATTTATTGGGTACATTGTAAATACAACAAAAATACACTCCTATGCATTTCTACCGTGAGGCCTGACAACCAAAACGCAGTTATTCATGTCGTATTTACTCTGTAACTAATAAATATTTTCTGCAGTTGGATGATACGAGCTGCCGGCTGTTCATCTTTTTGTGAATGGGATGTAAGCTGCAAATCCAGACAGGTCGTACACATGGGGAAACCTCGATGCTTTGCAGCACAGCAAATAAATATCACCCCTGATGTGTTCGTCAGCGATACTATTCAAGTGAATGAGGCCATGTTGCAGCCAGAAGCCAATTGTGGCGCAGCATCCCCATTCAAAAAGTTTGTTTGGATGTAAAAAAAAAAAATGACATGGTGGCAGTGTCACCTTCTGAATGCATGGAAAACGGTTCACCGCAGATCACTCCTCAAGAGAGATGCTGATGTAAACGATCCCTTACTTAGGGCCCCCTTCAAAGGAACCACACAGCATTCACATGCAGTTCAGTGCAGTGCAATTTCAGCCCATTTATTTTGAATGCACTACTTTTTGAAACATTCATTTTCAATGCACTACTTTTTGAAATGCACTGCAGTGTAGGCCGGTGCGTGCAAATGTGCTGCGCTTGCGACCTGCGTTTGGGGTGTTGTTAACTTTGCACTGAGCCCCGTGCTGCAGATCGCAAGAGCAATGCGATTGGAATGCAATGCGGGACACCCGGTTTTCCACACCACATTCTAAAGTGAACGGGCCCATTTGCTCTTTGCATTGTGTATCATAAATAATTATGTTTATTTTTAACCACTTGCCTACCTGGGCACTTTTATCCCCTTCCTGCCCAGGCCAATTTTCAGCTTTCAGCGCTGTCACACTTTGAATGACAATTGTGCGGTCATGCAACACCGTACCCAAACTAAATTTGTATAATTTTTTTTTAGACAAATAGTGCTTCTTTTTGGTGGTATTAAATCGCCATTGGGGTTTTTATTTTGTGCTAAACAAACAAAAAAAGACCAAAAATTTGGAAAAAAAGAAAGTTTTTCTTAGTTTCTGTTATAAAGTTTTGTAAATAAGTGATTTTTCTTCTTCACTGATGTGCGCTGATGAGGCTGTACTGATGGGCGCTGATGAGGCCGCACTGATGGGCACTGATAGGCTGCACTGATGAGGCTGCACTGATATGCAGCACTGATGGGCTCTGATAGGCGGCACTGTTGGGCAATGATGGGCATTGATAGGCAGCATTGATGGGCCCTAATAGGTGGCACTGATGGGCACTGATAGGTGGTACTGATGGGCATTGATAGGCGGCACTGATGGGCACTGACAGGCATCACTGAGGAGGCACTGGTAGCCAGCACTGATGGGCAATGAAAGCCAGCACAGATGGGCACTATTGGCCTCACTGATGGGGCTACCCCGATCATCAAGGCACTGATGATCAGTACCCTGATGATCAGTGTAGATGTCCCCCTGGGAAATGCCATTTAACGGCTCTCCTGACAGCGCACGAGGAGAGGACTGCTGATAACCGGCAATTCTTGTTTACACTGTGACCAGCTGTGATTGGACACAGCTGGTCACATGTAAAAGGCAGCTCTGATTGGCCCTTTACTTGGACATGTGATCAGCTGGACGCCCTCCCAGAACTAGCCGACTGCAATGTAGCCATGGGTTGGCTCTGAGGAAGAGGTTGTGTCCTCGAAACGCGTTAACCAGTTGGTCATCCAGGGTTCCATCTTATGGACTCAGATGTTGTTTTATGGATCATACATCTTGTTCAGTTTGACATGCCTGTGCACCCTTTTTCTGTTTCTCCATTTGTATCCAGTGTATTCGGACCACCCCGGTCTGTTGAGGGCAGCAAGCAGTGCATATTCCATAAAATTCCAGAACATTCCTATTGGGTCTACTGAGTCCTTTCCTAGCGCAGGAGTAAAGTGTTTGTTGTGTTGGATTTGCAATGTAGCCATCTTTTGGCTATAGCTCAGTTGGGAAGTGGTTAATAATAAAATATATGCCGAGAAGTCTGCATTCTGGGCATTCATGCCCTAGCCGTTCATACTGTTACGTATACCATCCAGCCTGAGGAGCTGGCAACCTCTTGTAGACTTTATAGGCCGCCAGCAACTACGCCTGCTGCAGCTGAGCGCCAGAGTCCCATGCACTGGGTGCAGATATTCTAGCTCATTATGCAGTTTAGGAGCAGGTAATAAATCTTACCCTAACTTGCGATATAAAATAGAAGATGTGCAACCACATTCACTGAGACACTGGGGGATATTAATCAAAACTGTTTCATACTACTTGTACAGACAAGTTATATTGGTTGTTTTATTGTTTGCAATTTCTACTTTTCGTTTGTGAAGCAAGTTAGTGACAGATTTATTCTCTGTAAACAAATTGCATAATAAATTAGTAGTTATAAAAAAATGAATATTTCTGTGCCTATTTAAATGTAAGTTCTGTGATGGATGCAAGGTTAGGTGTGACACAACTAGAAAAATAGGCTATTTGGCCCCACAAGCTTCTAACTTCAGATTGTTGCGTTAAGCGTTGGCAATAAAACCTGGAAGCTGATTGGTTTCTATGCAGAGCTGCACCAGATTTTGCACTCTACAGTTTTAATAAATATCCCCCTTAGGGTAATATCAATAATTTCTCATTCTAAGGTTAAAGCTGGTAAAATGTTTCTTTCTATGGAACTGGCAATACCAGTAAGCTAGGCAAATGCTATTTTCTTCTTAACTACTTTATCAGCACATTTGTGTTTATAGTGATGTAGGGGCGTCAGGAGGATCCATAAAATACAGCAGAAGACCAGGAGAATGACACTTCCAGAAGTGTCGGATTCTGTAGAGTCTTCAGGCAGTGATTTCTGGAGTCATGCATGGCAGCCCAGGAAGTGGGAGAGGTAACTTCTCACTTACTCCCTTGCTGTGGGCATATTTCTTGGCAGATATATTTTTAGTGTCAGAGTCTCTTTAGGATCCGTTCACACTATTGCAATGCAACTTTGATGCGATTTACAGTGTGACTTTTGCAGTGCAACTTTGCATATTCTGTGGGGCCAAGTTGCATTGTAAAGCGCACCTAAATAGTGCAGGAATCTTTTCCAAAGTTACCGCATGCTGAGTTGCATTGATTATTATTATTATTATACAGGATTTATATAGCGCCAACAGTTTTCACAGCACTTTACAAAATGAAGGTAGACATTACAGTTACAATACAATCTGGTACAAGAGGAAACAGAGGGCCCTGCTCATTAGAGCTTACAATCTAGGAGGAAGGGTTGAGTGATACAAAAGGTAATAGCTGTCAGGGGGATGAACTGATGGAGGAAATAAATGGCGGTTTACTAGGTAGAAGCAGGATAGACTTCTTTAAAGAGAAATATTTTCATGTGGATAGATTAGGAGACAGCCAGACAGATTGGGGTAGAAAGTTCCATAGGATGGGAGAAGCTCAGGAGTCCTGGAGGCGAGCATGGGAGGAGGTGACACGGGAACTAGAGAGCAGAAGGTCTTGGGAGGATCAAAGAGAGCGGTTTGGTTGATATTTTGAGACCAGGTTGGTGATGTAGCTGGGGGCAGCGTTGTGGATGGCTTTGTAAGTTGTTGTTAGTATTTTGAATTTTATTTGTTGGGCGAGTGGAAGCCAGTAGAGAGATTGGCAGAGAGGAGTAGCAGACATTGAGTGGAAGCCAGTAGAGAGATTGGCAGAGAGGAGTAGCAGACATTGAGTGGAAGCCAGTGGAGGGATTGGTAGAGAGGGGTAGTAGACACTGAGTGGAAGCCAGTGGAGGGATTGGCAGAGAGGGGTAGCAGACACTGAATGGTTGGTAAGGTGGATGAGCCTGGCAGCAGTATTCATGATGGACTGGAGAGGGAATAGCATATGTAAAGGTAAGCCAATGAGGAGGGAGAAGCAGTAATCGAGTCAAGAGATAACCTGGGAGTGAATTAGGAGCTTTGTGGTATCATTGATTAAAAAGAGGCGTATTCTGAAGATGTTGTGGAGGTTGAGGCAGCATGATTTGGACAGGGATTGGATGTGGGTAT